AAACTATATTACATATAAATATCTAAATTTATCTCAACAATCAAAATTTGATTAATCGTTGATATTTACAAATCAAACAATCGTTTCTAAGCCCCGATTTGATGTGGAAGGACCCATATACTATATAGATATATAGTAAAATTTAGGATTAGGATTTAGGTTAGAGTTAGAAAAGGAAACATGTCTACTTAGAGTACCAAACATCAACTTGTTGAGATATAGAAATCGTGTTGAACACCACTAGAGATGCAAATCGGCTCATCGGCTTTATTGATTAATCTGTTTTTATTATACTGAATATACAAGCCGATCGAGCCGTTTTGCATCACTAAACACCACTGGTGTGTTTTAATAAATTCGTTTACTTTTGAATGAATTAATGATAATTTTGTGATAATGAGTGACGAAAAAAAAATTTTTTTGACATGAAATAAAAGTATAATAATTGTAGGCAATAATTGTAATTTATTTTGAAACTTGCAAAAAATAAAAAAAATGAGTGTTCAACACTTATAATGTTCACTTTGTAATTTAACGAACTCTATGCTTCTGAATATAAGCCCCAGAATTAGTTCTAATTCCAGGGTTATTATAATCGTTTGAAGCCTTTCTATGCGATTCACTCGCGTAATTCGTATAATGTCCATAATAACTCGCATTCATTGGTGTTTGAGGATGTAATGAATCACGATGTTTACTTTTAGAATGCGGTTGTGGAGACTGTGGTGGAAGGTACCCAGAACTTGTTTTATGAGAATGTGAGGAATGTGAGGGATGGGAATGTGAGGAATGAGAATGTGGGGAATGAGAATGTGAGGAATGAGAATGTGAGGAATGAGAATGTGAGGAATGAGTATTTGGGGAATGAGAATGTGGGGAATGTGGGAAATGCGCGGAATGTGGGGAATGTGGACTTCCGTATGAGCTACCACTTCTGCTTCTATGATGATGAGTTTTGTTCAAACTAGAAGCACTATTTTTTCTTTCGCGATGCATTATATTTGCGGAACTTGAAGTGCTTGTCCCACTTGACGAATCATTCATTAACATTTGATGACGTGAATCAGTCGATAATGCTGCTAAAGTTTCACGAGCCCAGTATCCAGAATCTTGACGTTGATTAGGCGATATACGACCTGTTATTAATTGTGGGGAGCTAAGTAGATCAGTTTTACGATGTGGAGATAATTCTGAATGGCTTTTCCGTCGAGAATTCGGATTGGCTAGAGATTTTTGAGCATCTAATTTTTTTTTTTTTAAAAAAAAAAATAGAATTCTATCAGCTAAATGTTATCTATATAATACAATATGTATAGTGAGTGAGTACAGGAGGGTAACCGTAATTATATAATTATGATTTTTAAAGCATTCTAGAAAATTAATCAATGATTTTCATTGTTATGCATTAAATACGATAATTAGACAACCAAAGCTATCCCTCTTGTACCTTCTTTTAGTGAATATATATTTAAAAAACATACGAGAATCAAATGTAGAAGAACGGTGATAACGATGTTCAACCGAACCTCTACCAAGTGGACTTGCACTAAATGTTTGATTTGGAGTATAATCGGACAGTCTACGACTACGCACATAATTGGTTGGATCAGGGCTTGAGAATTCATCACCCGATACTACATGTACAACATTATATATATGTATATATATGCAATTATAAATATATATATATGTGTGTGCAAATATAAATATATATATGTATATAAATATAATTTATATAATTTATATAGTTTATATAATTTATACAATTTATACAATAAGATTTACCATTATTAAGCCATTCTTCGATCCGACCACTATTTTTCTTAATGGAGCCATTAGGAGAAGCAACTTTAATTATTGGTTTGACTTTGAGAGCAAGAGGCGTATCATCAGAACTTTCATCCGTTTCCTTCTCGTCCTTATCAACATCATCACTGTCATCGTCATCACAGGATTCTTCACTATCAGAGTCTTCTTCTTCTTTAACCTTTTTAAGTTTATTAGATTTTTCAGATTTATCTAATTTCTTTGTTTGACTCGTTTTTGATATAGCCAATTGATTGATTTTTGAAATTATTTTTGGAGATGGTTCAGTGTCAGATTCATCAGATTCATTAAAATTAAATTGATTAACTAATGAAGATGGCCTAGAAGGAGAATTATTGTATGAAGAAGATGGCCTAGAAGGAGAATTATTGTATGAAGAAGATGGCCTAGAAGGAGAATTATTGTATGAAGAAGACGGTCGAGATTGATTTGTAACTACGGAATTTGGTCTAGATTGTGTATTTGTATAAGATGATAGTGGTCTAGATGAATTGTTGTTTGCTAGATTTGATCGTAAAGGAGCACTGTTGTTCATAGATGACGGAACAGATGATGGACGAGAATTTGACAAACTATTTGATCTTGAATGAACATGTGGAGTTTTTGCGGTTTGCCCTTCTAAAGTTGATTATCAATTAAATTAAAAAAAAACAAATTAAGGGAAATTAAGGAAAATTAGAAAATTAAGAGAAAGTAAGGGAAATTAAAAGAAATTAAGGGAAATTAAAAGAAATTAAGAGAAATTAAGAGAAATTGAAGCAATTAAGTGAAGAGAAATTAAGGGAATTAAGAGAAGTTAAGGGAATTAGAAGAAATTAAGAGAAATTAGTGAAGTGAAATTAAGGAAAATAAATGAAGTGAAATTAAGAAAAGTTAAGAGAAATTAGTTAAGAGAAATTAAATGAAGTTAAATGAAATTAAGAGAAATTAAATGAAGTTAAATGAAATTAAGAGAAATTAAATGAAATTAAATGAGTTAAATGAAGTTAAATGACATTAAATGAAGTTTAATGAAATTAAGTGAAATGAAATGAAGTTAAATGAAATGAAATTAAATGAAATGAAATGAAATGAAATGAAATGAAATTAAATGAAATGAAATTAATTGAAATTAAGTGAAGTGAAATGAAATGAAATGAAATTAAATGAAATGAAATTAATTGAAATTAAGTGAAGTGAAATTAAATTAATTGAAATTAAGTGAAGTGAAATTAAAGGAAATTAAAGGAGTTAAGAGAAATTAAGAGAAATTGAAGAAAAAGAAAATTAAAAGAAATATGAGTAAACATGAGAATACTTACCAGAAAGAGATCTGGGTTGTTGAAGTATTAAAGAAGTTCTTTGACTAGAAGATGGTGAAAAAGATGATACAGTATTAATTTGCCTACTAGTTAATATAGATTCTCTAACATCCATTAATGTAGCCTGTTTTCCTAAACTACCACGTCTTTCTTCGGACATAACTATACTATCTCTTGGATTATCATTTGTTGAAGGTGAAGAATAAGACGATGCTCTCTTTCTTGGAGGCCGAGAAATATTAGTATCATTATCATTTTGTTCTATCGTACTCAAAATTGGAGGAGTAAGTAAATGAGTTGGTCTTGGTATATAAACTTGGTCGTCATCATCGTATCTGCGAGGATTTGGACGACTGTGGACAAATATTACACTACTTTCTGGATCCTCTTTCAGTGCTCTCGCTAACTGAAGTCTTGAAAAAACGGCAGGGTCACTATTTACGGATACACTCATTTTGATTTTGATTGAAATAAAATGGAATTTTTTGAGGGTGGTATGATCGATTTATTATGTATATATATATATTTTATATATATATATGAGAATATATATATAATATAAATAATATAAATATATAAATAATTATATATATTGTATATTGTAAAACAGGGAAGTATATCCAAAACAGACAAATGGATAACGGATAACGACAGAATAAGACTTGGCAGACGAAAATAAGATCTACAAAAATTCGGCAGAAATTCGGCAGAAAGGAAAGGATTTATATAGAGCGCCAAAAAAAAAAAAAAAAAATGGCTGCTGAAAAAAAACAGGTTAAAACTAATCTATTTAAAAGTCCATACATAATGCTGTAATAACAGAAAAAAAATAACAAATGCGGAGCTAGTACGTGCCTATCGATATGCATTGCATATATACAATATGTGTGACGGGAAAATCTGATTTGTGATAGATGTTCAAGTTTTCTTAATATCATAGCAAAAATAGGAAAATATAGTTTAACGAACAATTTCAATGTATAAAGTAAATCGAAATACGTAACAACTAACGCTAATGTAAGGATATAAAAAATAATGAAATTATAGCAAATAGGCAATAAGTTATTATTTCTTTTTTGTATTAGCCGCCTTTGTTTGCTAATTTTTAATGATTGTAACACCCTTAAAGAATGATCGAATAAATAGGAAATAAGTAAGCAAAATACTATTAATATACTATTAAAATTCTATTAAAATACTGTTAAAATACGTTTGAAAATATTTTAAAAGATTATAATTAAAAAATTATTCGCAGGTACGTACTTTCTTTCTTTTTTTTATCATTTTAATTTTTGTTAAGTCTTATTAAATATACGTAGCAAATAACTTTTAGATATTCCGAAAACTTTACTCTCATAATCGCTGTCCGTGTAACATTATGAATTTAAATTCGTGTAACTTACATAAAATATACACATATCGATAACACTTAAAGTATGAACTAACGCTAATATGAAGAAAAAACTACGTACGTACGTACACATTTCGTATTTACATTTCGTCGTACGTATGTAAAGAAGATCGCAGGAGTTTAGATTATTCGAAGAATATAAAATCTATTTTTAGTACATTAAATATTTTGTTTACTAATAAAATTTCGAAATTAGAGTGTTGCCTGGTAAGGTAAGACTACACGAAATGGCTATGTTGTGTACAAACGTGCTTCGTCATTTCGTTCATCTTAAACTTTATAACAGATAACAAAACATGCAACCGAACGTAAAATACAACATAAATATCCTTATGCAATCTGTCACACCATATGTTACTCAATATATATATTAAGCACTATATACTTGTATGAAAGCCTCCAAGAATCCACGTTCATTGTTTGTATTCATTATCGTTATTAGAATTTTTTTATTGTAAGATACTGTAAGATGTGGAAAATAAGCACAGCATCCTACTTTTTTCAATCTCAGATTGACGGACCACTAATCTGAGATTGAAATAATTAGGGTAGAGGGTGCTGTACTTATTTTTCACATTTTATGGTAATTCATATAAAATAAACTGACTTCTAATTCGAAGTATCATTGCTATTTTTTCTAACCATAATTCTAATGCTAAACCATGATAGTATATATCACGTGGGCATTATGCTACTTTAAATGCGACCTTATACATAACCATTCAATAATTTAATGAAAAAGATTATTTGTATTAATAAATTAATTTATTGATAATTAGTTGATAATTATCGTTATACGTACAGCCTATCGCTATGTTAATCCTTTATATATATTATAACCTAAGTTAACTAACACAAAGGTAACCATCCCATCGATTTTTCTATGCATCTATGTGTAAGGAGGTTGAATGTTACTCATAAATTAAATGTTGTTTCGAAAATACATACGCATATTTTATTTATTTATCATAACAATCTGTTTATATTTCTGAAAAAGCCAATTTTGTATAATTAGTAACCTTTTTTTCTCATGATGATTTTCATTAGATTCATTTTCGGATGAACTTAATTTAATTACTTCAATAGAAATTTATAAATCATATAAAAATAAATCATAATAATCCGCATTGAATTATTCTAACTTTAAACATCATTTCGTGTCATCGTCACTCCAAATAAATTTTGTTTTCATATTAAGTTAACAGATTGTCAACTCAAATTATTCTTTCACCAATCGGATCTTTGTTATTCATGGCAATCCTTATAACCTTCGTTTCATCCTGTCTAGTCTCGGTTTCTTGTTTCTCCTTTGTTACTTTCGTAAAAAAACCTATTATTATCCTGAGCCGAATGGTTCGTAATGTTAATACCTATTTACTACTCATACTCTACTGCTGCTAATGCTAATGACGCTAATGATAAATGAATAACGATATTGCTGTAATGATCAACCATTAATGTTACATACCATTACATATTTCATATAAAATTATTTTTTTTTGCTGCTACATTATATCGTTATTTATAGCCGGGTTGGATTTTAATTTAGCTATATATTAGTTGATTAAACAAAATAAAACTAATTTTGTCTTTAGAATTTATTTTTAAATTTCTTTGATATATATTAATCAATACATGATCTCTCTCTATTATCCTTCTTTGCTTTTTAATCTATCGTGATTAATCAACAATCGGTCACTAAACTGTACCGGTAATAATACTTTTGGACATATATATATCTATTTATGGATAATAATACCGATTAAATTTGATAGTGATAGTGACAGTCGATAATCTTCATTCTTGATACATTATCGGGAAAGATTCACTGTCACACAATTGCTATGCTCTTCGAGTGTGTTCGTATGTACGCATATTGTCTTAACCTTATCATTAATGTTCAATGATCAATGATTTTTGTTGTGTTGTCATGCAGAGATTTAGTTCATATCTTGCATATATCTACTCCTTCTCTCTCTATATATATATATTGGTTTGTTTTTATGTAGAGGGCAGGTTTATGCACCTCGGATTTTTGAATAAAATGTTCTACTCCTTGAATATTATTTGTAAAGTACTGGAAATACATTAGTAGTTAAACTTGGATGCCGTTCAAAAATGTTTACCAAATGAGTTTTTATACCTTTTTACGTAAAATAAAAATCAAGATTTTACTTCTTATATAAATCTTGATTAGTTGCTGTTTAAAATTTCTATTATATGTTATTATATGGCAGTAGCTATCTACCAAAATTTGATCTATATTTATAAAACTAGATGTTAAGGGGGAATTAGGGTTCCTCATGGTCCTGCAGGGGCCTAGCTTGGATACTAATTTGGATTTTTTTGGTTTTTTTTTTGTGTTGGACTCAAAAATTCAGTTCCATGTGAAAATGGGATCAAGCTCAAAATATTCGGGTTTGGATCAAAAAGCTCACGTATAGTCTATATTTAAGCTGATTGGCCATTCATTGACGTTTATAAATAAAATTGCGCCAACCATGAGTTGACTGGTGGTCATGGGCTGGACTTGGATCTATCCAATCGAATATGAATTTGGATATATTATCCTGCTTCGTGTAACATAAAATATATATAACTTGTTAAAAATAGATTGGATTAATTTTTTCTAATAATTATATTTATTCGAAAAGACACTATGACAAGTTTGGTTAGTAGCAAAAAAATTAAAAAATCCTACTCGAAACGAGTAATTGCTTTCAAGCTGGTTTAAAGCAAACCAGTTTCATAATCGAGTTTAAGTGTTAAATTAATAACTGCTATTAGTGATGTATGTTCTTAAAAACATTATGAATAAAAGTTTAATATCAAAAAGTAATCATAGTAATAATGTACAAACCTCATTAAGCAGATTTGTACATTTCTAATCCAAATATTTGATACATATTTTTACTGAGCTGGATCTGGACTTGAAATATCCATCCCAACCCGAACTATGCGGAACCATTTGGGGAATGGGCTAGAAAAACCATCGTATGACACTTGCTTTCAATAGAGGCGTTCCTAGTCTATTCCCCATACATGGAATATTGGTAGAGGAGTGATTCCCGGGCCTCTGCCCGATCATCACTTTTATACGTATCACCGTTATAGTACGATACATTAGATATTACAATCGGATCTGATAAGTGGCTTAAACATATTATTTTAATAGTTTCAAAGGATTTTTCTGGACTAATCGGATTAGGGGTGATCTACTGTTAGATTAATCATGGCAAAAGGATGTCGCGGCATTGTGATCTACTGACTATTAGATTAATCATGGCAGAAAGATATCGTGGTATTGTGATCTACGGACTGTTTCTAGGGGCAGTATGGGCAAGTAGATTTGTCCTGGCAGAAAGATGTCGCAGTGTGATCTACGGACTGTTCTTAAAATTAATCAGGGCAGAAAGATGTTGTGATTTACGGACTGTTATTAGGGACAGTGGGGCAGGTATATTAATTAATCAGGGTAGAAGATGGACAGTTCTTAGACAGTGGGTCAGGTAGATTAATCATGACAGAAAGATGTCGCAGTATTGTGATCGCCGACCGTTTTCAGCCCTGCTGAAAAATGCCAAATAAAGTATAAGATATGATGTAACTGTAAATTGATTTATAGTCTATGTCGAAGAACAGGAGCGACTGTTCAAATTCGTAGATGATTTCAATATAATTACACATGATTGTCAACAACTCGTATCTCGAATTTTATCAAATCGGCCAGTCAGATTGCAAAAAAAAAAGGTGTGGGATTCACAGGGATTCAAAAAATATGATATAGGGCGAATCAAAAACATCGATTCATCCGCTAAATTTATTCTCGTTTCATGGAAAATTAAGCTACCCGAACTTTTAAAAGTATTGTAAAATGTATAAAAAAAATTATTTATCAATCGTGTGACTATATCGGAATCATCTATGAATTATGTCGAAGTGATCGGAACAGTCAGCGATCACGAGACCATGATATTTTTGACTAACCTACGTAGAATTGGGTACTGAATTAGGGTTAGTGAATTTTATATAGTAATGTAAATTATATAAAATGCTACATAAAGATTACCTTGAATGTTAAATTAAAAAAAAAATTACTTGAGTAGCTATAAATTTTATTTTTTATTAAAATATTATACTTTAAATATAGATAAAGTTAATATATTATAATCAGGGTTGTCACGTTTATATGTTTTTTCTATTGGCTTATAATTCTATTCATTTTTTTTATTTTTCTATTGTAAATT